GCAAAGTCAGGAACAAATAACAAAATCAAAGACCCGTACATCGGAATTTTCCGAATTTATCGTATACCCATTCGTTGTATTTATTGATTGTCAAAACCCATATAACTGAAAAACCTCTGATCAACATAATCAAAGACCCTTTTCCTTGTTCTTCCCACAAAATCCAAAACAAAAAAAAAAAAATTGATTCTGCCCGTAATAACGTGTGGAAGGAAGAGGAACCTTAAGAACGATGCTGTCCCTAACTAATCTTCAGTTAATACACGCAGATCGGAGCAGGCTTCAGTGTGTGTTAATTATCACGCGCGAGAAGAGATGGCTTTAGGATATGTTGGGAAATGAGATTTTACTACGGTGGAGAGACGCCCCGGGTGGTCGACTTGACCAATAAGAAAGTGACACGTCATATTGAATAAAATAATTACTGCTAATTAAAATTCAGCATTAACGCCTAAAATAATTAAATTTTTCTACAGACTAATAGCTTGTTTGGGAGGGATTAAAATCAGATTAAAATTGAAAATATAGTCGTTATTGTTGACTTTTATTAGACGGGTGGGACCCAATAACGGCCATATTTTCAATTTTAATTGGATTTTAATCACTCACGAACGGGGCCTAAAACTAAAAATAATCAAATTATTTATTTTGAATTAATAATTTGTTCAATTTAGAATTAAGAAGCCATTTAATTTTTTATGTTTTCTCAAGGTCAGCTAACATTTATAGTGTGCACTCTAGTCATTGAATATTTTTTGCCTAAACTCTAGTGGCATTAAACTTGTTAACATGTTTCAATTAAGTCACCCTTTACGTTTTTATTGACATGTCTCATGGTTTTAACAGTTTTGTTGACATGAAGTTTACAAGTTTACGTAAAAACAAGTCTAAATGTGTTAAAGCAGTTTGACTATGAGCATGGTTCCTCCTCCTCGCAAATGGATATGACGACGGAACAAAGTATTATTCCAGACATACGCGAAGGTATTGATAGTGATGTTCAAATCTCGCTGAACAAAATGTAGTACAACGAGATAGAAACAATTTTTTATATTATACGTGTCCATTTGTGTTTGGATAGCTTCTTTCAAAAGGACTTCTATTTTCTCGATAAATGTCTTAAAAGAATATATGATTTATTAGAATTGAGATTTATTAATTTTAAGTAAGTACGTAACTCAGCAACAAAATTTTCTTACCTATCCAATTTTTAATGAATCAAGAAAACCATTGTTTTGATGCTTTGAACTTGTTAAGATATTTCAATTGAAACACTTCTAATAGTTTTATTGTGTTTCATAGTTTTATTGACATGAAATTGATGAGTTTAGGGTCGGTTCTAGCTATAGGTGGCATAGGTTGTTGCGTTGGGCCTATATGCTAAGGCTTTCATTGTCTCAAAATTGGCCTTGGACGAGTTAACACGAAAAAGAAGTTAAAGTGCTTAGATAAGTGGTACGAAATCAAAATGGCGTGTGAAAGTATTTTCTTTTTAACTTGTTAATATCATTTTATCTAAGGTCATGGATGCACAAGTTACATCATCGACACTTTAGTATATAATAAAAGGGGAATAGTAAATAGTTAGTACAACATATCCTTTAGAAAATGATTTTTTTTTTTTTTGTGAAAAATAGCAAAATGATACTTTTAAATGAAACAACAGATACTGCCCTTAATATTCATTTTTCTATTAAAAAACTAATCATTACTTGGGGATTCATTTTGCGAAACAGTTAGTTGTAATATGGAGTTCTAACTATTTGAAAGACAATTCGACTAATCACGACAATTTCAATTATTTCGCGTAGAAAAATTTGACTAATCAATGCTAGGCAATTGAAAATGCATTGAGTATAGCGGTTTTCCAAAACATATAGAAATATCTTCCATCTTTTGAGATAGTTATAACTATCTTCTATAATAGTTAGAACTGTCTAGCGTACTAGCAACACTTGTTTCTCGAAATGAATTCTCTTAAAAGCTTCCAAAATTCACCTTGAAAATTGTGTATTCAAATAAAGTTTTATTTGAGTCCCAGTTTAAGAGAAAAAGAATTTTATAATAGTGATTTTTTGGAAAATATATAGCTAAAAAGTATGAAAAATTTTAACTTTTCGTGTAAAATTATTTTATCGAAACAATATGTAATTGAAAATGAGTTTGGAATTTTTATTAAATGCGCAATATTCTCTTAAAACTTGCAAAATTTGCCCAAATAGCATGGAAAAGTCTAAGTGTGCATAATTTGGCCACATAATGGTGTCCATAATGTGATGTGGACAAGATCAAACCGTTGATGTGAAAGTGTGAGATTATGATTCTTCATTATAAAGAATTATCTAAAGTTTAACCCTTCGGTCCACCTCAAAGAAACTGTCATACATTCCAAAGGAAAAATATAAGAACCAATTACAGCGCATGAGCAAGTAAACACGCAATCCTATCAAGTCCTTTACGGTTACACCAAAGCAAAAGAGAAAACAAGTAATCAAACTGTAATTTTCCAGATTCTCATATAATAAGAAAAAAAAATAACATAATATGCAGCAAGATATGCTGCAAGACTGAATAATTAACCATCAAAAATTGCCATGCATTGATTATGCACAAATAGAACATAATTATTGTCAGAGAAAAAATCAGTCTTCATCTGTACAGAAGAAATATGTCAAGTTTTCGAGATTTCTGCAATGTACAAGTCAGGACCAAATAACAAAATCAAAGACCCGTACATCAGAATTTTCCGAATTTATCATATACCCATTCGTTGTATTTATTGATCCATATAACTGAAAAACCTCTGATCAACATAATCAAAGACTCTTTTCCTTGTTCTTCCCACAAAATCCAAAACAAAAAAAAAAAAAAAAATTGATTCTGCGCGTAATAACGTGTGGAAGGAACAGGAACCTTAAGAACGATGCTGTCCCTAACTAATCTTCAGTTAATACACGCAGATCGGAGCAGGCTTCAGTGTGTGTTAATTATCACGCGCGAGGAGAGATGGCTTTAAGATATGTTGGGAAATGAGATTTTACTACGGTGGACAGACGCCCAGGGTGGTCGACTTGACCAATAAGAAAGTGACACGTCATATTGAAGAAAATAATTACTGCTAATTAAAATTCTGCATTTAAGATTGACGCCTAAAATAATTAAATTTTTCTACAGACTAAAACTAAAAATAATCAAATTATTTATTTTGAATTAATAATTTGTTCAATTTAGAATTAAGAAGTCATTTAATTTTTTATGTTTTCTCAAGGTCACCTAACATTTATAATGTGCACTTTAGTCATTGAATATTTTTTGCCTAAACTTTAGTATCACTAAACTCGTTAACATGTTTCGACTAAGTCACCCTTGATGTTTTCATTGACATGTCTAGTGGTTTTAACGGTTTTGTTAACACAAAATTTAAGAGTTAACATGAAAATAAGTCTAAATGTGTTAAAACAGTTCGACTAACAGCATGGTTCCTCCTCCTCACAAATGGATATGAAGATGGAATAAAGGATTATTCCATACATAAACGAGTATTGACGGTGATTTTCAAATCTCGCTGAACAAAATGTAGAAACATAAACGAAGTAGGAACAAAATGTAGATACACAAACGAAGGTATTGACGTTTTCATAGAAACATTTTTTTTATGTTATACTTGTTCGTGAAGTAGGAACATGTCCATTTGTTACTGGATAGTTTCTTTCCAAATGACTATTGTTTTCCCGATAAATATCTTAAAAGAAGATATGATTTATTGGAATTGAGGTTTTTTAGTTTTATGTAAGTACATAACTCAACAAAAAAAATTCTTACCTATCCAATTTTTAACGAATCAAGAAAACCATTTGGTCCGATGCTATGAACTTCTTAAGATATTTCAATTGAAACACTTCTAACACGTTTATTGTGTTTCGTAGTTTTATTGACATGAAATTGATGGGTTCAGGGTCCGTTCTAGCTATAGGTGGCATAGGTTGTTGCGTAGGGCTTGTGTCCTAAGCTATCATTGTCTCACAATCGGTCTTGGATGAGTTAACAAGAAAAATAAGTCAAATTGCTTAGATAAGTGATACGAAATCAAAATGGTGTGAAAGTATTTTCTTTTTAACTTGTTAATATCATTTTATCTAAAGTTGTGGCTGCACAAGTTACATCATCGACTCTTTAGTATATATATAATAAAAGGGGAATATTAGTGAATAGTTACTACAACATATCCTTTAGAAAGTGATCTTTTTTTTTTTTTTTGTGAAAAATAGCAAAATGACACTTTTAAAAGAAACAATAGATAATGCCCTTAATATTCAATTTTCTATAAAACCTAACAATTACTTGGAGATATCTTGAAAGCTTTCATGGCAAGATTCATATGCGAAATAGTTAGTTGTACGATAGAGTTCTAACTGTTTGAAAGACAGTTCGACTAATCACGACAATTTCAATTATTTCGCGTACAAAAAATTGACTAATCATTGCAAGGCAATTGAAAATGTATTGATTAGTATAACGGTCTTCCAAAATATTTAGAAATGTCTTCCATCTTTTGAGATAGTTATAACTATCTTTTATAATAGTTAGAACTGTAACGTACTAGCGACAATTGTCTCACGAAATGAATTCTCTTAAAAACTTCCAAAATTCACGTCGAAAATTGTGTATTCAAATAAGGTTTTATTTGAGTCCCAATTTTTGAGAAAAAGAATTTTGTAATAGTAATTTTTTGAAGAATATATAGCTAAAAAGTAAGAAAAATTTTAACTTTTCGTGTAAAATTATTTTATCGAAACAATATGGAATTGAAAATGAGTTTGGAATTTTTATGGAATGGGCTATATTCTCTCAAAACTTCCAAAATTTGCCAAATAGCATATACAATTTTTGTTAAAAAAAAAGTAAAATTGATTTGACATATTATTTTTAAAGTTCAGCAAAACCCCTTTATCTACCCTTTACTGTATGCACCAGTCTCCAACTCCAACGTCCACCGTGCGATGTCGAGCAGACGGCCACTTCTCCATCCCAAGAAACTCATCGGAGCAGCACACACCAATTCAATTCACACCCTGAAACACTATTCAGATTATGCCCAAACTCTTACTCCAGATTCGTTTTTGCTCGAAAAGATTTTGTGGGCTCTAAAGAAAGGTCAGTCCATTGACGTCCATTTATTCTATCAGCTAAACCCATCAATATTTACGGAAGTTCTTTATAAATGTCGGAATAATTTGCAAATGGGTCAGAGGTTTATCGATTTTATTGCGTTAAATTACCCGAATTTCCAGCATTCTTCGCTGTCTTTTAGCGCCGCGGTACATGTATTAGTTAGGAGTAAAAGAACATCCGATGCTCAGGCTTTGATTCTCAGGATGGTTAGGAGGAGCGGAGCTTCGAGGACCGAGATTGTGGATTCATTAGTGGAGAGTTATGGGAACTGTGGGTCAAGTTTATATGTTTTTGATTTGTTTATCAGGACTTATGTGCAAGCTAGGAAGTTAAGAGATGCTGTGGAGGCCTTGCGCGCGCTAAAATATAGGAATATTTGTGTTTCCGTAAATGCGTGTAATAGTATTCTCGGAGGACTTGTTAAAATTGGGTGGGTCGATTTGGCAAGAGAAGTGTACGTGGAGATGGTACATATTAGGAAAGATTTGAATGTATATACGCTTAATATAATGGTAAATGTGTTTTGTAAAGATGGGAAAATTGAGAAAGCAATTGACTTTTTATCAGAAATGGAAGAAAGAGGGATTTTTGCAGATATAGTGACATACAATACTTTGATTAGCAAATACTGTCATGATGGACGCATGGAAGAAGGTTTTGAGGTGATGAAATTGATGGCAGATAAGGGTCTGAAACCCGGTCTTCTGACTTACAATCCTGTTGTCAATGGTTTGTGTAAGAAGGGACAGTATGGTAGAGCGAAAGAAGTTTTAATTGAGATGGTGCAGATTGGGTTGAATCCTGACACTGCCACTTATAACACGTTGCTATACGAGTGTTGTAGGAAGGATGATGTGGTGGAAGCCGAGGGTACTTTTAATGAGATGCTGCATATGAATGCTGTCCCAGATTTGGTTAGCTATAGCTCGCTTATTGGGTTGTTTTCAAGAATTGGGAATCTTGATAGGGCAATGGCTTACTTTAAGGATATGAAGTCGAATGGTCTGATTCCTGACAATATTGTTTATACTATTCTTATTGGTGGCTTTTGTAGAATTGGTGCTATACCAGATGCTATGAAGATACGTGATGAAATGATGGAGAACGGTTGCCTCATGGATGTGGTGACTTACAATACTATTTTGAATGGCTTGTGCAAAGAAAAGATGCTTTCTGAGGCAGATGTACTTTTCAATGAGATGGAGGAAAGGGGTGTATTTCCTGACTTCTGCACATATACAACTCTAATAAATGGATATTGCAAGGTCGGGAACGTGAGTAAAGCATTAGCTTTGTTCAGATCTATGTTTCAGAGAAATCTCAAGCCTGATGTGGTTACATACAATACCTTGATTGATGGATTTTGTAAAGCAGGTGAAATGGAAAGAGCCATAGAAATGACGGATTATATGATCTCAAAAACGATATATCCTAACTGTATTACATACAGTGCTCTAATAAATGGATTCTGTAGTAATGGTCTTTTATCTGATGCATTTAGGATGTGGAATGAGATGGTCGATAAAGGAATTCAGCCCAGTATCGTGACTTGTAACTCTCTTATAAAAGGCTATTGCAGGAACGGTGATTCCAGAAAGGCGAATGAGTTTCTAAAGAAGATGAAGTCCAAAGGAGTTCTTCCTGATTCTATTACTTATAACACTCTTATACATGGATTTGTAAAGGAGGAGAACATGGGAAAAGCTTATGATTTGATAAATCAAATGGAAAATGAAGGTTTATTACCTGATGTAATTACATATAATGTTGTTCTTGATGGGTTTTGTAGACTAGGTCAGATGCAAGGAGCCAATATGATATACAAGAAGATGACTGAGAAGGGCATAAGTCCTGATAGATATACATACACATCATTAATAAATGGTCATGTCTCACAGGAAAACATGACAGAAGCTTTTAAGATCCACGATGAAATGCTGCAAAGGGGTTTTGTGCCTGATGATAAATTTTAGCTGGCCAGTTTGAGCTGCTATACCTTCTGGAAATGGAAAGATTCTGGTTCCTAAAACCTGCAAAATCCTATGCATACATTGTTAATCAACAAGCTAAATGCTGATCTATGATGAAGGTTGGGACCTATGTTATATACTCTTTCCTGTTCAAAATCACTTCATAGTTATAAACAAGATCTTTTGAGAAAGCTTGCATTTCCTAGAATTTGTCAACTGTGGTAGCTTGTATGCTTCCAGTTCGCTATTTCAGATGTTTTCTTTTATTTTTCGCCTCCCTTGCAGTAAGATTAAAAAATAATAAATGAATATGCAATATAAATAATGAACTTTGCGATGTGCCTCAGGGATCTTTGACGCATAGATAATTGAGCTGGATGAGCAGAACAGCACCCTTGATTAGCCTCTCCCAACATCCAGTTGCAGGTTCAACAAGGGAAACTGGCAATATGCTGTGTCATGTTTGCTGTATGGCTGCTTGTATTCTCACCTCATTCATGTTTTATTTCTGTTTGTTTTTATTTTCCAACTTCCAACTGGTGATACATGATTTTTCATTTACTTGATCGTCTTTGATGTGATTTTTCAGAATAAACAAGAGGCGATTACTGAAAGCTAGGTAGGTTTGAGAATAAGGTAATGGTTGGAAAACCATCTATGCTGACGGTTCATGTTGTAGTAAATTTACAATGTGCCTTGGGTCGGAACTTCTTAGACACGAGATATACTTTGATTGCTTGGGCTTGGATCCTCCAAACAAGCCAGTGCTTTTCATGAGCCAAGGGGTAACATTTGACAACGGTGGAGGAGGTTCAGCTTCATGAGGGGGAGTTCAGACTCAAAAAGGATAGATTCGTGTACATTTTTAAACTTTTTATCATCTTTCATTAGATAAAGTAGTTTTTTATTAATGAGAAAACTAGAGCATACATTTATGCCCTGTTTGATCCACGTTCTTCTCAAAATTCATTCTTTCAAAACTCATTTTCAACCACACATTCTTCAATAAAATAATATTACACGCAAATCCAAAATTTTTCTTTATTTTTTAACCTCATATTTTTCATCACCACATCATAAAATACATTCTTTTCCAAAAAATGTGCATCAAACACCCCATTAACTTCAAATCACTTCTCCATTTCAGATGTCCAAGGAAGACGTTCCACTACTTGTGAGGGAGGTTCTTCAAACTCATGTGGATGAGTTTCAGGTACAATTTTTAAATTTCAACGATCTTTCATTTGATTAAGTGAATTTGTGTCAGAAAATAAGAAAACTAAAGCAAGCATTAACTAAGAATCTTCTCTCCATTTCATATTCACGAAGATGTGGTTAAACCACTTGTGGAGAAGGTTTTGCCTCACGAAGAGGGGGTTTACGTACGTGCATGCCCTTTTTTGTATTTCCATTGCCAATTGTTCAGGTTGATGATTATGATGACTTGCCTGATGAATTCCTTAGGATACATGAGGAATGAGATACAAAAAAATGGTGAGCATTTTTTCTCTCTATACTAATCAAGCAAAGCAGAGTAACTATATTCGGGTATTGTTTATGACCCCTTGCATGCTTCTGACTCGAAGAAGGCCAGTGATTTTCATGTTGGCAAGACAAAGCACGTGAAAGATAACTACTTTTACCTGCTTGAGTTTGTTCAATTTTTTGGTCTTAATTTAAAGTTGTTATGTTATTTCCTTTTATGAAGTGAAGTGGATTTTTTTTTTTTTTCATGTTATGTAGTGTCCACGACATTGCCAATCTACTGCTCTAATCTCCAGCAGGAGAATTTCACACCTTGGCCTGCTTCTTGCTCTGTTATCTCATAGTGAGACTAAGATTCCATCAAATTCTTTCATAATTTGTCTTTGTAGCCTAGCCTTGATCTCTTGCATGTGATCTCAATTCTTCATAGTAGATCAGGAGATTGACCGGAGATTAGATGCAGATTAATATTATCTATGAGGGCTTCTCGGTGTTGTATTAGCTGTGTGTAGGAGAGGCATAAGCATGTGTCTCGTCATCTCCTTCTCCGATTGAATACTCTTTCACCTCGCCTCATTATTTCCTTCATCCATCGGCATCACAAGACTTCTGTCCCAGCGATCCAAGAAAACATCAACTCTTTGATCAACTACTCCTTTTGAGAAAACAAAAATAATATCTCAAGTAAGCTTGAGAAGAAAACTAATTGCAGCAAAAAATAAACGAAAATGTAGGTCTGGTACTTCGCTAATCACCAAAGATGGAGGTTCGGTGCTGGCATCCCAAAGCATCATGCTTGGGAAAGCTATAATCTGATTTTGAAGTCAAATAGCTTCATATGCCCAGATCTGGAATTGCATTGATTTAAGGATTTAAAGCCCCTTCTTGCACCCAAATCTGAAATCTGGTTGGCGGCTTATTAACAATGTGAATACTCTCTCCATGTTGAGGTTAAATATGATAACTTCAAATTAAGGTTTCAACTTCGTCTTAATTTTGCAGTATGTTGATATGGTAATGTACTTGTTGGGGTTATGTGATAAAGGTATGACATTGTCATGGCCGTGTGAATTGCTAAACTGTGTCTTTTCCCAAATTATACTAGAAGTGTAAGTTCAAAGGCAACTGCGATTTTCACAAGTTCTTCACACATTACTCCGTTGAAGAAGTATTGGTTTTGCTTCAAATTTTTCTTACAGTTGGTAAAGCAATTTGGCTTCATTTTGCAGGCAGACCAGCCTCATATGTGTTGATTTTCTCACCTACTCATGACTTGAGCCTATTTGGATAGTTTCAACTAGCTACCAATCAGTGCTTTGAGAATTCCAAGTCATAACTAGTGGTCAAAAAAATTTGGAAGGTTGAGTTCTCCGATTCGATTCTAGGTAACCAAACTTGTTTGTTTGGTAGGGATTTTTTGGGGGAAGAATTGATTTTGAATAGTTATATGATGAGAAATGTGTGGTTGAAAAAGAAGAAAAAATTATTGATGCGATGAAAAATATTATTTTATTAAAGAATGTGTGGTTGAAAATGAGAATTGATTTACTGTTGAAATTGAAAATCTCTCCCAAACACCTCCTAAATTTGTGTGGTTGAGAAAACNAGAAAATGAAAATCCCTCCCAAACAAGGCCTTGATCTAAGAAGAATCGAACTAAACAGCTCGATTCGATTCAAGATTGATAATTAACAATTTTTCATGTGTTATTGTCTAATACTACCGAATTCTCCTACTAAATATCATATTAAATATCGCTGGTTGCCTAATTAAATATTTGGTACCAAAATTAAGAGTCACATTTTTCAGCTGAGATTAGTGTCGTCTCTTCTTTAATTAAAAAAACAATAAAAAAAATATTATGATAAAAGAAAACTATGGAAATATGTTGACTTGGTGAATAATATGACACCAACAAGATTTGTGTTAGGTTTGACCATCTCTTTAATAATTTATAATAATATGTTATAGGTTTGACTTTACGTCTCTCTACGAAATTTTTTGAACTATATTGTTTGCATTGTGCATAGACGTTTTACTTCTAAATCGATGGTAAGTTAATGTGTAGTTTTATACGAAATGAAAAAAGGAGAACGATACAAGTTATATGAGCAAAATTCATGGATACTCGCTAATCCGATTAATCTAAGCGATTTTCCAATTTTAGATTAAAAAGGTTTTATCGTAATAATGAAGTTGTAAAATAAATTACAATAATAAATTTGATTAAAAAAATTATAGATATTTATTTACTTTAAATTAGTAAACTAAAATTTAAAAAATCTATTGTTTTTATAATATTTTACATTTATTTAATTTGACAACCGGTTAGATATCGATTTGACCCCACCCGGTTATTTTATTTTATTTTTTTTTTCAGATTTTCCAATTCTTAAATAGATTTAATAATTATAAAATTTTCAACTTTTTTATATTTTGAATTTGATTACTTTTTAATTCTAAATTTATTTATTTTAGGAACAAATATGTCATAAAAATATTTTATCGACTCAATTACTTATAACAAATCGGATGGGATTGACCTGTATTCATAGTTGATCCATTTAGTTAACGGATTATCGTATTCGGATTCAGATCTTGATCGGGGTATCGAATTGAGATCTTACATTCATCTCCCATTAATTTCGTCGAATTCGAATCAAAATCCAATCTGTTGATAACCCTAAACACAGGTGAACATTCATGTCATGATAGTAGTAATCTACGTCGAATTAAATCATCGATGTAATCATGAATAACGAACGTGCACCGATAGTAGTAACTAATTAAATAAAAAATGTTGAAATATTACGACAATTAATGCAAGATAAAATTGATCGAAAATAATTTCGCGTATTAAAATTTGGCAACTTGATGGTTAGCTAAAAGCGAAACCTTGGGTTTCATCATTTATTAGCCTGTCGCATCAATCACTATAATCTTTAATTTTCTTTTAACTTTTAATTAAGGGCCTGTCTGTTTCTACTATAAATCACAATTTGGAACGTTGGGAACACTATTCAGCCGAAAAGTTTGACTTTTGTGTGTCTGGTGGAGCAAAAAGTGTGGAAAAAAGGGTAAAAAAATTGATTTTTTGGTTAAAAAAATTTCCATCAGACAATCCCTAAATTCATCACAGACAAGACAAAAATAATTCGATTAAAATTCATAATTCAACTTTTGTATGTGAGCTCGGTTAGTTGAATTGAATGGTCGGCTAACATTAAATGCAAATTTCAAACTATTAGACTTCCATTAGAACATAGTCACTTCTCGGAAAGTTTACGTTGGAATGTTTTGCTTAGCGTGTTATGAATCACACAATATAAATTTAATCATGTATTATTTACGTGTAAACTAAATTTATTTCCATCGAACATCAACTATTTTCGTGTTACCTTAATTCCGTGTTGAACTATTTTATCTATGACTTCAAATCGATAAGATCGAGAAAATTTATTTTTATAGATATAGAATAAATTGTTCTATATTAATTTAGGTCTTCCAAGATGTAATGGCCACATGCATGCCATTGATTGTTTGGTAGGGTAATAAAGGCTTTTAAAAGGCAATTTTGTACACTATCTCCAATAATTCAATAAAGGGATGGCATTATTTATTTCCCTTATGTCCGTTTGATTGCAAAAATGAAATTTGAATGGAAAGAAAATGAATTACAGGAAATTGAATTGCCTAAAATTATTTTCGTGAGAATTTTCAATTAACTGTATTTAATTGGTATAATTTTTCACCTGGAGTTGGCCCTCTAATTCTTGCGCCTTATAATTTGTTAGTAATCTAGATTCTTTCGGAATATCTCGATTAATTTTCAGCTTATAAGATCCGTATGCGAAGATTGTTGTGTATCGAAATGTCGACGAATTTCATTATTGAAAATATCTTTAATAGTTTATATTGATGGAAGAGACGCTGCGACTTCTCTGTTTACACGTATAATTTGTATAGAAACACAATGTATACCACGAAAATTAAGTGAAATAGCCAACCTATTATTTAATGGAATCGACTTTTCAACTATATTTAGGTTTATGAGCCATCGATGTCCGATGATAAATTTTTCAACTATATTTTGTAAAGGAGTTGTTGACCAGCCAAAAGTGATTAAAATATATATATTTTTTTTTAATCATTGAGATTTAAAGAGATAAAATAATTACTCGAGTCTAAGTCCCATATATTGATATATAGTAGTAGCAGCACATGTCTCTCTCATGCTAATTTACGCAAAATAACTAAAAATTGATGACCAAATAAAAAACATTATCGAGAACACGATTCGATTAAAAACCATCGTAGCAAATGAACTTAAAAAACTAAAACCTTAATAAAAAAAAACAACGTTTTCTGACATAACAAAAACGAACTTTTCACGATAGTTTGTGCTTGTCTAACCTTTGTATCTTCATATTTCTAGTGACGGTTTTAATCCTCATCAAACCCAACTAAGAGGAGAAATTTCTCGAACTCATTGAAGAGTAAACAAATGTATAAGGTTGGTGGTGGCCCGTGTCATTTTATTCTTTAATACGAAAAATAAAATGGTCCACGAGTTAGTTTCTTACATTTTTATTTCAAAATTCATTTTTCATGAATTGGTTGAGTTTCTTGATTTATTTCACCTTTTGTTCCGGACGGCATTGGGATCGAGTACGTATTAATGTGTATTCTTACATAATTTTTTAAGTTAAGATCAATTTGATGAATAAGTCAATTGAGTGACATTTCAAACAAAAAAAAAATTTATTAGGTCGAATAATTTATTAAAGTTAAGATCAATTTGATGAACAACTGCGTGCAATTTCTGTAACATCACGGATTAATTTCAAAGCCACCATTTCTGACCACCGACCCTTCATTATAACGCAAACAATCACAGACTTCCTCTAAGTCAATCCCTCTACTTGTATACCTATACATATACATACACATACACATATATATTATGTGTATTTGTGTATATTTTGCTTTGTTTGTGTATAGAGAATTCTCTCTCTAAGATGGGAAATGCATTATCTCCATGCTGCAAACCAGAGTCAAGTTCATCAGTGAAGTTAATATTCCACGGAGGCGCCACCAGAATTCTCATCGAAAAAAGCGTCGCCGGAGAGATTATGTTCGAGTTCCCGGACCATATGGTATGCCATGCAGACTCATTCTTCATAGGCCAACCAATTCCTGCACTCGCCATTGATGATGAACTCATTACTTCTCAAACCTACTTTGTTCTTCCCATTGATTACTTCCCATCTAACGTTCTTTCAGCTTCTACTCTAGCCGCTTTAGGAAATCGGACGAAAGGCTCCCCGGTGAGCTTCAAGGGGTGCCCTTTTGAGTACTTGAAGGGATCAAACGGTAGGGCTTCGATCAGGGTTTTGCCGGATTTTTTGATCAAGATCTTTACAGGGGGTAATGAAAATGGAGGTGAAGGTTCCGATAGTCCAGCCGGAGATAGTTTCCTGTGCAGCACGCCGGAGTTAAAGAAGCATTATAATCAATTGGTGGGGTCTAAGGATCAGGTTTGGTCACCAAAACTCGAAACCATTTCTGAGTATAAAATTAGGTATTCGCCTTGCAGATTCATAGGGTTGGAATGGAAGCAAAAGGAGGCAGAAAATTGATCTTTTGTTAAATTTAGAAAGTTCACTTTTACAGTACGGTTCTTGAATATTGCTGGACGAGCTTAGGCAGTTCAGTGGACAAGTTCATAACTTCCCATGTCATTAGGGTTACCAAAGATAGATGTACACATAGCCACTTTTTGTTCCTTTCTTGCAATTTTTTGAGATTATGCTCTACAACTTGTAAAAATTATACCTTGCTACTAACCTGTAATTTTGGGGAATGGTTCTCAGTTGAAGACTTAGCATCGGTTTGGCAAACTTTATAAATCAATTTTTGAATTGTTTTGAAATGTCTCATTTAAGTGTTTTCCTATTACATACTACGGCCTCATTCAAGAATTGTTTTGAATCCAATCCGTAGGAATCCATATACACTAGATCGGGTTTGGTTATTAATAAGTAAACACATTTGTCGTTTCTTGATATTTCCTTTTTTGTCACGATCATCCTGTCTCGTGTATCTCTCCATTCGACCCTTTTTTTTCGATTTTAGGAGTTCAAGAAAAGATTTTTCGTTCTCTTTGGTTGTTACTTGTTACAAAAAGCATGTAAATTGTTTACATCAATTGTAGGATATAATTAATTTACATAAATATTTTCTATTTGCACGCTTTTATATTGGAGTATAATGAATGTATCTATTCAATTGACTTATGGATTCTTTAAGTAATTAATTGACTTATGGATATTTAACATGAATTTTTTTAATGAATTTGATGATTATGATCACATCTAATCAATTGGTTGTTCCTAGTTTTATATAAAGTTCTATATTTCTAATAAATATTTATTTATATTGGTAATTCAAAAATATTGATCAGTGAATATAATCATTTCATTAAGGGTCCGTTTTGATTTGCAAATGTGGAAAGACTTTTCAATTTCATGTAAGTTGGAAAATAAAAACCAAAGTACCCCCTATGAATGCATTTTCCATGAAATTGGCAAAAATCAAACTTAAAGTGATTGTACCTTGGAATTCGAACTTCATTTCCTCATTCGTATCAAACAGCTAAAATAGAAATTGAATTTATCGGATGTGACATTTTTCATTGAATTTAAATCAATCAGACGGACTCTAAGAGAAATAAAATAAAGAATTAGTTGGATGATCCAGTCTTTAATTAATACATGTTCTTCTCTTCATGTTTTAATTAATATTATTCATGGCTGTTTGTTGCATTTTTCTCCTTAAAAAGGGTAAGAGTTGCAAGGCTCCACGTTCTGTTCATATCCGATTAAGAGGGGTCAACTTTTTACTAAGAGATATTTCATTTATAATCTGTTGAATTTAGTGAACACTTTTTATATTTGGTAGGTAATGTTAAATATAAATCTTATATCGTGTAAACGTAAAAATAACGACTAAGGTTAAACATCTTCGATGTGATTGTAAATGACTTAGACAATTCCAGATCATCTTGAAGAAAAGAACAAGTGTATTGCTTGATGTGATGCATTATAGAGATTTTTTATCAGCCCGGCCCATTTCCTTGGGCCTTTCCTTCCTCATTTAGGTCACAAATTTAGAGAGTTTGTTTGTCGTACTTGACTTGTCAAGTTACAGTATTCAACCTTGTGATGCGTGTCACAGCCCAATTTGGAGGGATTTTTTGGGGCAAGGAGTTCGGCAACTTATCATGACAAGTGGGCAGTAGTCTACAACCTAGGTCATCATTTCTTTTCTTTGATTGGTGGAGACAGTAGTGTTAATGTCATGGGGAGAAGTCGTTTCAGTTTATTCGTGACAATGTTTCCTCCGCTACTACTCTTTAATTGGTGGAGATTGCAGTGTTGCTGGAATGTAACGTGCGATCGCTCATTCCAAACTATTGCAATCACATGGGCAAAGCTTTTAACTTATTGGTGGAATTTTTGGCCCTCTTGCCATGGCAACGTTCCTTTGCGATCGCAACGCCCTTCAAGTTTATCCCCATTCAACTTGGTCCTTGGATTTTTCCTCGTGTTCAACTCGAGTCCTTTCTTATTTGTACTATTTGTCCAGTTCCTTTGCGATCGCAATGCCCTTCAAGTTGATCCCCATTCAACTTGATCCTTGGATTTTTCCTCGCGTTCAACTCGAGCCCTTTCTTATTAGTACTATTTGTCCCGCATCTTTAAATTTGTATACTTTGATTACCATCTATCCGCTCAATTTATCAAGGTTAGAAGTTCGGATGAGAGTGTAAATCACTAATATCAATCTTGAATATTAATCATATGCTGTGGACGCACCTAGACTGATTCTCATGTTAGAATCTATATTGAATTGCTCGACTTCTATCCGTTCTTGAACTCGACATTGGACTTCAATTTATGATCTCACCAATGAGCCCAATTTACATTACTTGGATGTTGCCATAGAAGTGCCAACACAATAATTCAAGCAATTTGCATAATCTATTAGTATATTTATGGGATGTATTTGGAAGTAAGGTTGTAATCGATACTGAGTTTAATAGTTTTTCATATAATAAGTAAATCTTGTTGCTCGAAGTTTGTCACTGGGTTTTAAGTTCTCTGTGTAAGTATTTATATTCTTGCAGCATTTTTATTTTAAATACTCACTATTGATATTTCTTGATTTTGTGAATAAAACTTGCAAATAGGCTTAGATTTCCAACCCATATTTTACGAGATAAAACCCGTTTGGTAGCCATTTTTCGGGAAAACATTGTTTGAATAGTGAATTTTTTGATAACATATGGTTAAAAAGTAAAGAAAAGTTTTGAATTTACGTGTAGAATATTTTATTTGTGTGAACATAATGTTGAAAATGAGTATGTTAAAAAAAAAACGTTTTGAAAAATGAAAGGCAAACGGGAGCAAAGATTGATCTCCCTTTTCATGACCCTATTATCCATGTCTATTTGGTCCATGACAAGTCCAACCCATGATCAAGAGAACCCTCTTGAGATTGGAGAAACATTCAACATGGCACTTATAAGGTGTAGGTCATAGAAAATATGTAGATAATAATCGGTAATAGTTGCGAATAGTACGAAATGTGTAAATAAAAAGTTTTTTTGATCATGAGTGATCACTTAAATTATAATAAGTTACACAACATGTTCTAATTTATTGTTTTCTAGTCTACTTTACTAAGAGAGTGTTTGACAAGACTTCCACTTAATGTAAAAGATTTTTTTAAGAAAGTTACTTTAGGTCAAATTTCTCTAAAAACTCTTCTAATGAAACAAAATACTTACAAAAAATTATCTAAATATGTTTAAAAATAACTTCTTAATCTCAATAACAGCTTTTGATTTTTCAAAAATCCTTTCAAACGGGCTTTATAAGTTGTAAGTTATACGAAATGTGTAGATTATGCCCTTGTCTGTTTCCAATTTTCAGCCACTTTTTGATTGCTTGTCAGACCGTTGAAATGACCAGGCAGCCGAATTCTATCTCTATATGGAACCCACTTGCTGGAAAAAAGGGTTTAAAAAAATCAGTTTTTTGGATTAAAAAAGCTCTCCCGGACAAGGTCTATAAATGGACAGTAAACTCGAACTTACAAAATGTGTGAATAAAAAGTTTGTTTGATCGAAAGTGATTAAATTATAATCACTTAACGAACATGCTCTAATTTATGAACATATTCGGTACATAATAATGAATATAACTGAACGCTACTATAGTCACAATTTTAATTTTTTTCTACTATTGACTATTGAACAGAATCACAACAATGTGTCTTATCGTTCCAAAAATTTAATTTATTGACATATTTGTTATATAATATTAAACAAAATGAAACAATGTTGTCTAGAAAAGAATCGAATCTATCTTTCTAAACATATCCCGCGGATAAATGCATATAATGAAACATATAATTTAGTGCACTATGGAATGGAGACAAAATGCTATATATGAGTGTAATTGTGACCAGATACACCATCTTTTTACCCATCTTCCTTGTGTTTTCAATACTCAATTTCCACTCAATCTACTTTTGTTGGGCATCATTATTGTTTATTTGGACTTTAATGTATTTTGTGACATCCTTGCGTCGAAATTACGTTTGATCGAGAAAATTTTTATCCTCTGTTAAATTTAAAGATTGAACTACTTTCTTTATTCAAGTTTGAAAATGAGACATAACGATACTAAATAGCTCTCCCCATCCCATTCCCACCTCGGAGATTTTTGGTAGTCGGGATGGGAACAAGGATAGTAACACGATGGGGACTTTATAAGTAATTTTTTTTTTTAAATACGATTTAAGCTGTGAAACATAATGGAGCAGATAATTTTGACAACCTTGTGGATAGGGGTGGGCAAAAAAACCGATTAAACCGACCGAACCAAACCGAGTCGGGTCGGTTTGGGTTGGTTTGAACCAAAAAATCGGTTTGGTTTGATTAATTTTAACCATTATAAAGTCGAGTTTGGTTGGTTTATGCAACAAACCCGTCATTAACCGGTCTAACCCGTAAATACATTTTTTTTTATTTTTTTCATTTTAAAATTCATCTTCTTAAACTTTAAAAAAACAAAAATAAAAACACAAATATAATTCTTTCTTAAATAATTTATTTACCGTCTACGTTTTTTCTACCAAAGCTCCAAATTTCGAAAGAAAAAAAAGCAAGATGTGTTTATTATAAATTCCAAATTTAGATTGTATCATTGCTTTTCATTTTTGGTATAATTGTTTTTGGTAACTATCAGATATATACGATAATTTTAGAAAAATCAACTCACTACCATTTATATTATATATATTATTGATACGCAAGGATATATATATATATATAGACAATATTTTTAACTCAAAATAGATACGAATTCTTTTTTAACTCGCGTCAGTGTCCAAACCGATTAACCAAATCAAATCGACTCAAATCAATATGGTTTGGTTTGATTCGGTTTCAATGATTGGATTAGGTGGGTTTGCGTTGGAATTTATCCAAATCGACTTAGTCGGTTTCGATTATGGGTTGAAGTCAAAGCCAAACCAACTCAAACTTAGCCAAAAAAAATTCTGATGAGAA